GAAACACATTCATTCAGAGACAGGAGGCTATCTGCAGTTGTTCCGAAAGTTAAGGACCAGTGAGCACTCTGCTGCTCGGGCCCTGGACTTCCCAGCCAGTGCTCTTTGCACTGTAGTCTCCTACCTCTCATAAACAAAAGGTGACTCCTGCGGTGCAGACTGCAGGGTATTTGTTCAATAAAGACCAGTTCATTGATTAAGATGTTATCACAAACCTTACTGCTTTGTGTTGCAAACTTCTGGTTTTTGTTTTTTTTTTTAGTAGAGACAGTCTTGCTCTGTTGCCCAGGCTGGAGTGCAGTGGTATGATCTTGGCTCACTGCAACCTCTGCCTCCCAGGTTCAAGCAATTCTCCTGCCTCAGCCTCCCGAGTAGCTAGGACTACATGCGCACACCACTATGCCCAGCTAATTTTTTTTGTATTTTAGTAGAGACAGGGTTTCACTGTGTTGCCCAGGCTGCTCTCGAACTCCTGAGCTCAGGCAATCCGCCCGCCTCAGCCTCCCAAAGTGCTAGGATTACAGGCATGAGCCACCGTGCCCAGCCTGTTGCAAACTTATCTCTGAAGAATGAGTTAGAAATGACTTAGCAATCAGACATCTACTCTCATTGCTCTGTTAAACTATTCTCATAGGTCACAAGTGATTTTCCAGTTGGAAAAGGTTATCTCTTTCTGTCACTTTTGATAGTGGACCATCTCTTCTTAACCCTTCTCTTGGCTCTCCAGATGCTGTACCTTTGGCTTTCCCTTCACTTTGAATCTTTCTTATTTGCACACTTTGCCTCCTCCCTTTTTATTAAATTTGTTTCTGAAAGTTCTGCTTTCAGACATCTCCCCGTATCAGACTCTTTGGCATCTTACTATCATGTGGGACTAACTTCCATACCTGTATCTCTAATTTTCTGTAAGTGAGGGCGAGAGTAAGGTGTTTGGAGACTCAGGTTAGCAAATGACTCATTCAAACTATAAAGCTTCAGTACTTTGAGCAAACTTCTCCCAGGCAACTATTCTACCCTAAGAGATTATCTCTAGATATGTTTCCAGCTGGCTTGGGAATCTTAAGTTTACCAGACAACCCTCTGATCTATCATTTAGTCTCTAGACTTCCCCATAGTGTAGGTGTGCTCTGTTAAGATAAACTGCAGTATCAGGTTCATTTTCCATTGTGAAGGAAAAAAAATGGCACTCTGGCTTACTACTGAATCTCTTGTGAGTTTGATTGATGTGAGGCAATCTCCCAGAATCCACCTAGGAAATGATGACCTGAGTTTCTGAACTTGCAAAGACTGAGGACCAGATGCCAGACCGGGATAACCCAGCTAAGGTACTTCCTGCCCTTTGATGACAAGGCATTATTCAGTTTCATACCCTTCTCTTGAAGTATCTCTCAGCTCCTTTCTCATTTCATAAAGTGTGTCAGGATGGGAGCTTACATATAGTTAACTGAGTCTTGCTCCACAGGCCCTAGCATATGACACATGGTTAATAAAATCTGTTAAAATCCTCCATCCTAGATCAAACCCTATTAGGACACTAGGGGTAACATCTATAGGTAATAAGATAGGGAAAGGGTCTTGCTTTAAAGCCAGGGTAGGTGAGTCAAAGTGCCAAGAACATGTGGATTCAGTTTCACAGCCACGAGTAAAATCTAGGTGGAAAAGTTTTGTGATTGTATTAAAAAAGGAAAGTGGTTCGTGCGTGAGGGCACGCCTCCTGCTTTCATGGGTCAAGTATGTGAAATGCAGCCATGTTCAGTCATTAGACCTGTGGACGAACATATAGGTAGGTACTGAATGTACGTCTGCGTCGTGATGAGTAAGTGGAGGAGCGAGGTGAGTGTTGGGAGCAAGTATGAAGGGCAGTTGACTTGGCCAACTGAAAGCTTTAATGATGGCAATACTTTCATTCTAACATCAGTCTATTTCCTTCTTTGTATACCTGGGGTATGTGCCTGATGCACACTGCAGAAAATGGTGCCTCTGCTTACATTTAGGGCAGTGGTGGTTAAGACTACTTGGCTTTATTCCTATTAAAAATTTTTTTTGGCTGGGCACAGTGGCTCACGCCTGTAATCCCAGCACTTTGGGAGGCCGATGCGGGCGGATCACGAGCTCAGGAGATTGAGACCATCCTGGCTAACATGGTGAAACCCTGTCTCTACTAAAAAATACAAAAAATTAGCTGGATATGGTGGCGGGTGCTTGTAGTCCCAGCTACTTGGGAGGCTGAGACAGGAGAATGGTGTGAACTCGGGAGGCGGAGCATGCAGTGAGCTGAGATCCCGCCATTGCACTCCAGCCTGGGAGACAGAGCGAGACTCCATCTCAAAAAAAAAAAAAAAAAAAAAACGAAAAAACACTTTTTTTTTACGCACTTCTTTTTAAGGCAAATGGCAGTGTTTCCAACTGTGAAGAGAAAAAAACTGCTTATTTTGTGTGTTCACCTCAGTTTAGTATTGGCACTTCCAATGCTTGTTTTCCTAGTCTGTAAAATGGGGATAATTAAGATAAATAAAATTATCCCCATTTTACAGGTGACAGAACAGCCTCACAGAGGCTAGGTAACTTCCAGAAGGAAGCAGAGCTTTTTTTTTTTGAGACGGAGTCTCACTCTGTTGCCCAGACTGGAGTGCAGTGGCATGATCTCGGCTCCCTACAACCTCTGCCTCCCAGGTTCAAGTGATTCTCCTGCCTCAGCCTCCTGAGTAGCTGGGACTACAGGTGCGTGCCACCATGCCTGGCTACTTTCTATATTTTTAGTAGAGATGGGGTTTCACTGTGTTGGCCAGGCTGGTCTTGAACTCCTGACCTCGTGATCTACCCACCTCGGCCTCCCAAAGTGCAAGGATTACAGGCGTGAGCCACCGTGCCTGGCCAGAAGCAGAGTTTCTAAGAGGCAGGTGTCAAACCCAGGCTAGACTCTGAAACCTGAGCTCTGAATATTTTGAGCTCAGCTCCACAGTGACTGTATTTGTTCTATTAGAGACAACTGCAGAGAGAGGCCAAAGCTCAGAGCAGGCCACTGGCACTGGCATCTGATCCTGCTTAACTGCCCTGCAGCGTAGGATGGAGACACTTGGGTCTTGTCAGGCTAAGGGACGGGGTAGGATGGCTAGTGGTGAAATTGAAGAAAACAAATGGGCAGAAGGTGGCTGGGTGGAAGTTGAGAGGGCTATCCTGGCAGTGTTCACTGGAGAGGTGTGAGGCTTTCTGAATGCCTGCTGACACCAGGGTGGGGCAGGGCTGTGCAGTGCAGTGCAGTGTGAGATACACCAAATTGGACTAGAAGCCAAGGCAGGGTTGTGTAGGGGGTACCCCTGGGGCCCTCCACCTAGTGAAGCCCTATCAGCCCAGTGTCCTCTCACCAGCCCTCAGAGCCCCAGCCAGCTTTCCTTTCTGGGCCTGTAGTGCAACCCCCTCAACATGGCCCACTGGGTAAAAATTCATGCTTCAAGACTGATCCCCAAGCCTGTTTTATATTATATAAGTAAAGAATTTTTAAACACTTACCCCCAGATAATGTATATTTATGAAGTATAGCCCTGTCTGCTTGACTAATGTATTAAAACTGTCCTTTTTGACTCCTGGTCCAAGAAACTATTGTCTGCACTTCTGTGTAGTTGTGTATAGCATCCTGCAAATTCTGTCAGAAGTCTGTGTTTTCAGTAACACTAAAACTTCTCTCTCAAATGATACAAATTTTCAGCTTTAAGACAAGTTCTGGGGAATGAATGTACAACATATTGACTAGCTAATAATTCTGTATTGTTTACTTGAAGCTTGCTAAGACAAATTTAAGTGCCCCCCACCGAACTAGTACATAAATAAGTCTAGTGAAGGATGTTTTAATTAATTTGATTTTGGTAATCATTACACAATGTATAATTATATCTAATCATCACATTGTACATCTTGAATATATATAATTTTTGTCAAATAACCTTAATAAAGCTGGGAAGAAATGATAAAAAAGTGACAATCTAACATATGATAAGGTAAAAAGATATTTCAAGAAATTTGGATGACCTCTTGCACCCCACTTTGCTAGCCTCTACTCCCAAGAGTCATGTTCTGGCTATGTGAAGTTGAGCAACTTCTTAATCTTGCCAAGCTTCAGTTCTTATCTGTAAAATGTGATATTGAAACGATTTGAGAATTGTGAGGGTTAAATGAGATAATTCAGGTAAAGCTCTAAAACCCCTGCCAAGAATAAAGTCTTTTCTTCCCCCCTAAAACTTGAGTATTAGAATTCATTCTCTCTGGTTTCTCTCTTTTGCTATGCTAAAAATAGATTCAGGTCCTTTTCATTGTCAAGATTTTAGTTTCCTTCAAAAGATAACTGCGAGCTAGTTGTAATATAACACCAGAAGAATTATACAGGTCTTAGAAACTACGTTTTTCATAGTAATTATGTTGGTTTGCACTTCCTGGCTTCCCTTCTCAGACGGTAGATACCTGGAAGCCTAGTGGAGCAGATTCTCCCCACTTGAAGATACTTATAAAAATAACGAACATAGTTCCGATGACCATATGCCCACCATATGCCCAACACCGCTCTGCGCACTTCACACAGTAGTGTCATCTCAGCCTGTGATCATTCCGAGTTAGGTGCCGGGATTCTCCCCGCTTTGTGATAACTTGCCCGAGGTCGTACAGCTAGCCAGCTATGGAACCAGTATTCAAACTCGGCTACGCTGCAGCCTGTGGCCCTCCACTTTCTTGCCCGTGGTCTGCAGTTTAGGTAACCTCTGGGGGCGGGGTGTTTTGGGTCAGGTTGTGGCCTCAGAACAGCGCTTGCTGCGGTTGGATGGATGGGTGGGTGGGTGGATGAAGAGAAGAAACCTGGTGGCGTCGTCCCAGGGCTGTGGAGCGCCCCGAAGGTGAGCGCATCCCCCGCGAGGGCACCTGCCAGCCGCGCAGTTCTCAGCATTCTCCGCCACTTCCGGCCCTGGCCCCGCCCCCTCGGGTGGCTGGCGTCCCTTACGCGTTGAGGAATTTTGTCTCCAGCGCCGACCCGTCACGCTGCCCTCGTCGCTGCCATGGCGGCAGCTCCGCCGCTTTCCAAGGCCGAGTATCTGAAGCGTTACTTGTCCGGGGCAGATGCCGGCGTCGACCGGGGGTCTGAGTCCGGTCGCAAGCGTCGCAAAAAGCGGCCGAAGCCTGGCGGGGCCGGCGGTAAGGGGTGAGTTGGTACCGGCCGGGGCGGGGCCTGCGACGACTCGCCACCCCTCACCCTTCCCAACTCCGCCCTCGGTCGCCTGGCGACTCCTTCCCTCTTGGCGGGTCTCCCGGCTTCTCCGCCGACCCCTGCTCATGCCCAGGGCCCTACTCACATCGCTTGAGGCCCCGCATTGCCTCTGCCGGCCCGCTTACACCTCGAGCCTCTGAGCAGTAGCGTCAGTGCGTTAGAGCCGGGCTGTAACTTTGATTACTCTTTTCCCGCCTTGGTAGACTTCCGTCCTCTTCCATGGGGAATGAATGTTGCGCCCCGAGAATAATGGAGCGGATTCAAAGCCTCTGTGCTTGAATCTTTAGGGCCCGGTACCTGCCTGTGGGAATTCCCAAATCCCAAAGACTTGGTTCTGAATCAGAGACCTTGGATCACCTCCTGTTACTCTTAGTAATAGTCCTACTAACAAGAGAAGTTAACATTTACATAATTATACTTTTCTTGCCAGGCAACATTATAAGAAATTTAAACATAAGTTTGTTTAAGCCTTACAACAGTACCGTGAACTGGGTATTATTTTCAAATGGGAAAACTTTGTGGCCCAATGTAGTGGGCCCTACCAAATCGTTTTCCACCCAGAACCACAGAATGTGACATTTAGAAATAGGGTCTTTGGAGATGTAATCAGTTAAGATGAAGTCATACTTGATTAAGGTGGGTGCCAAATACAAAATGACTGTTTTCCTTTTAAAAAGAGGGAGGTATGGATACAGACACAGCAACAAAGGAAAAACGACTATGTCTAGATGAAGGCTGAGATTGGATTGGATTTATGTTGCCAAAAGCCAAGGTATGCCTGGGGCTACCAGAAGCTGGGAGAGGCAAGGAAAGATCCTTCCCTACAGACTTTGCAGGGAGGATGGCCTTGCAGACACCTGGATTTCAGATTGCTAGCTTCCAGAACTGTGAGAGTTTCTGTTGTTTTATGCCACGCAATTTTGTGGTACTTTGTTACAGTAACCCTAAGGCACTAAGATACCCAGTGAAGTCACATTGTTCTAAAGAACTAGTCCATGTTGTTTTCTGGTTTGGTGCTTGCCTTATTATTGTCCTCGTCTTTCTGCTTCACTGACTTGTGTGGATCCTTTGGAGGCAGTGCCATGTGATGAAAGTAGCTTGAGTGTTGGAGCAGCACTGGTCAGAGTTTGAATCCTAGCTGTGCCACTTTATAGGCTGTGTACCCTTGGGCAAGGTGTTTCATCTCACTGAACTGCAGTTTCCTTATCTTTAAAATGGGAATAATACTGAATAATAATGCTTTTATGAAGTGGTGGTTGTGATTAGAGGGATTGCATTAAGTGACCCTGGCTTTTTGAATAACTTCACATCATGGCAGTCATGGTTATTATTGGGGCTCAACTATAGTTTATCCATGTAACAAGCATTTATTGAATACACCGTATTCCAGTTACTGTAGGGTGTTAAGGATGCCTCTGTGAACAAAAAGAAACATAGTCCCTGTTCTTGTGGAGCTTATAGTTTAGTGGGAATACAGGCTTTAAGCAACTAATTACACAACTAATTGATGTATTTTCTTTATGATAAATGCAATGAAAGTATTCCAAGAGTTTTTAACAAACTCTTAGTCTTTTTTTTTTTTTTTTTTTTGAGACGGAGTCTCACTGTGTCCCCCAGGCTGGAGTGCAGTGGCGTGATCTCAGCTCACTGCAAGCTCCAACTACAGGGTTCATGCCATTCTCCTGCCTCAGCCTCCCAAGTAGCTGGGACTACAGGCGCCCGCCACCACACCTGGCTAATTTTTTGTATTTTTAGTAGAGACAGGGTTTCACCATGTTAGCCAGGTTGGTCTCGATCTCCTGACCTCATGATCCACCCGCCTCAGCCTCCAAGTGCTGGGATTACAGGCGTGAGCCACTGGGCCTGGCTGGGTCCATGGTCTTGAGTGAGTATGAGATAGTGGGGGAATCCGGGAAGCAGTCAAGAAAAGTTTGCCAGGCTGGGTGCGATGGCTCTCGCCTGTAATCCCAGCACTTTGGGAGGCCGAGGCGGGCGGATCACGAGGTCAGGAGATCAAGACCATCCTGGCTAACACAGTGAAATCCCGTCTGTACTAAAAAAATACAAAAAATTAGCCGGGCGTGGTGGCAGGCGCCTGTAGTCCCAGCTACTTGGGAGGCTGAGGCAGGAGAATGGCGTGATCCCGGGAGGCGGAGCTTGCAGTGAGCTGAGATTGTGCCACTGCACTGCAACCTGGGCGACAGAGCAAGACTCCATCTCAAAAAAAAAAGAAAAAAAAAAAAAAAAAGTTTGCCAAAGGAAGTTAAGTTTGTGTTAGGACCTGAAAAATGAGGAAGAGTTTCCTAGCACTTTGGGAGGCCAAGACGGGTGGATTGCTTGCATATAGGAGTTTGGGACCAGTCTGGGCAACATGGTTAAACCCTGTTTCTACAAAAAAAAAAAAAAAAAGTCAGGCACAGTGGCACATGCCTGTAGTCTCAGCTACTTGGGAGACTGAGTGGAGAGAATAACTTAACCCCAGGAAGTCAAGGCTGCAGGGAGCCATGATGGTGCCCCTGCACTCCAGCCTGGGCCACAGTGTGAGACCCTGTCTCAAAAAAGAAAAAGATTGAGAAGTGTAGATCAGGCAGAGGGAAGGAACTGCATATGTGAAAACTGATGTGGTAGTAACTTGGCTCCTTCCTAGGCACCAAAGGATGACCCAGGGAGGTGTTCAACCAAGGAAGTAGCAGTAGGAGATTAAGATGACCTTGAAGACAAAGACTGGACCATGCAGGATCCTGTAGGATTTTGAACTTTTATTTTAAAACCGATAGATAAGTGTTTTTAGGCTGGTATCCTAGAATGACTCTTTTTGATCTTCTTCTCATTTAGAATGCGGATTGTGGATGATGATGTGAGCTGGACCGCTATCTCCACAAGTAAACCAGAAAAGGAGGAAGAGGAAGATGACGGAGATTTGCCTGTGGTATGTATCTTTGGGGCTGTCAGGATTTTGAAATGAAGCAAGCTTCTCAATTTTTTTTTTTTTTTTTCAGACGGAGTCTCACTCTGTCATCTGGGCTGGAGTGCAATGGCGTGATCTTGGCTCACTGCAACCTCCACCTCCTGGGTTCAGGCGATTCTCCTGCCTCAGCCTCCTGAGTAGCTGGGATTACAGGCACCCGTCGTCATGCCCGGCTAATTTTTTTTGTGTGTGTTTTTGTGGAGACGGGGTTTCACCATGTTGGCCAGGCTGGTCTTGAACTCCTGACCTCAGGTGATCCACCCACCTTGGCCTCCCAAAGTGCTGGGATTACAGGTGTGAGCCACTGTGCCAGGCCAGGCTTCTCAATTTCTTTTCCCAGCTCAGGGTAGATTTGTAGGGGGTTAGTTGAGAACAGAAAAGAGGTGACAGTTTCCAAAGAGCTGTTTAAAATAGTTTTCTTTGCTGATGCCTATACACCAACTCCTCTCTTTATGGAGGGCCCATCAGCCTAGAAATGAGACGGATCACAGAGAGAGGACTCCTCAACATCAGTGATAGAGTAATGATGTGAATTGGCTGTGGTTCAGTTTGTTGGAATCTTCCTTAAAAACAATGCTGAGGTTCAATTATAGGGAACTTTTTATTTGCTCCTTTTTTTCATTGATTTAACCAAACTTTCAAATTGTATATTCTTGCCTAAGTACTGGAGATATGTAGATTAATAGAACATAGCTATATTTTAGAGTTTATACCCTGGAATGGAAAACAATTTCAAATAAATTTCAACAGTATGGTAAATGTTGGGGATATTTCACATATGTACCAAGTACCATTAGAGCCCAGGGGTGGTAGCATACTTTGTATTCTGTTGGGAGATATCCTGAAAGATGTAAATATTGAGTTTTGAAGGATAAATAAGAGCCAGGTGGACAAAATCATAGGCAAATGACCTTCCAGTGGTTCATGAAACCATTGCTGAGAATTTCTGAGAAACAAAGTGGAAAGGAGAGCTGTTGATAGGCTGAATTCCACTAAAGGTGGTAAAGATGGATTCCAGATGAGTATTTAACATTAATTCCTAGCAAAATTCTAAAATAGATTATTTAAAAGAGGGCTTGCTAGTAATTAGAAGGGAAATAGTGATCTTAGAGAGCCAATTTAGTTTTGGTCAGAACAAATAAATATTAACAATGTTTGTTGTTATTTTTTAATTTTATGAAAGCAATGCATGTTTATTACAGAATATTTGGGAATTGAAAAAAGTTTAAAGTTTTTAAAAGAATAACCACTTATATTGTGACCATCCAAAGGCAACTGCTGATATTTGGATGCAGATCTCTTCAGGTTTTTCTCTTTAGAGATTATACATGCTTGTGTTTTATTTTTTTGAACATAATTGGGATCATACTGTACATACGGTTTTGGAGTCTACTCTTCTGCTAAATAATATGTTTTGGATACTTTGGTAAGACCTTAAAATATTCTTTGAGTGTATGATTTTTATTGGTTATGTAGTAGTTTACTATATATATTTAATCTGTTCTATTACTGGATACATGAACTGTTTCCACTTTTAAAATATCATGCATCATTGTACATAAGTCATTTGTAGAAATCAGTTTATTTCTTTATTCCCATAATATGAAATGAATGGATCAAAGGGTATGGTTCTTTTTAGTTATATTCCCATATTGCTTTCCAAAAGGTGCTACCAGTTTACACTCCCACTAGAGGTAATGAGAATGCCAGTTCGCCTACGTCGTCAATATTATTATTATCATTTTTGAGACAGGGTCTTGCTCTGTTGCCCAGGCTGAAGTACGGTGGTGTGATCATGGCTCATTGTGGTGTGATCATGGCCCATTGTAGCCTCTACCTCCCAGGTGCAAGCAGTCCTCCTACCGTAGCCCCACAACTAGCTGGTACCAAAGGTGCGCACCTCAATGCCTGGCTAATTTTGTGTATTTTTTGTAGAGATGAGGTCTCTGTGTTGCCCAGTCTGGTCTTGAACGCCTGGGCTCAAGTGATCCTCCCGCCTAGGCCTCCTAAAGTGTTGGGATTACAGGTGTTAGCCACATGCCCGGCCAATATTAAAGAATTATTAACAAAACAAAACCAATAGCAAACCTATGCCGATTTAGCAAGTGAGTAATGGTATCCATTTCTTTTTTTTTTTTTTTCTGAGACGGAGTCTTGCTCTGTTGCCCAGGCTGAAGTGCAGTGGTGCAATCTCGGCTCACTGCAAGCTCCGCCTCCCGTGTTCACGCCATTCTCCTGCCTCAGCCTCCGGAGTAACTGAAACTATAGGCTCCTGCCACCATGCCCGGCTAATTTTTTGTATTTTTAGTAGAGATGGGGTTTCACTTTGTTAGCCAGGATGATCTCGATCTCCTGACCTCGTGATCCACCCGCCTCGGACTCCCAGAGTGCTGGGATTACAGACGTGAGCCACCGTGCCTGGCCCAGTTTCTTCGAACACTAGTGAAATGAATCATTTTTTATATGTTCATTAGGCTTATGTTGTAGGTGTATTTTATCATTTGCCTTTTCACTTACTTCATAATACTTTTTATTTATTATTTTTTTTTTTCAGACAGATTCTCGCACTGTCACCAATGCTGGAGTGCAGTGGCTCGATCTTGGCTCACTGCAGCCTCTGCCTCCTGGGTTCAAGCGAACCTCCTGCCTCAGCCTCCCGAATAGCTGGGATTATAGGCGCCTGCCACCATGCCCAGATAATTTTCGTGTTTTTAGTAGAGACGGGGTTTTTCCATGTTGCCCAAGCTGGTCATGAACTCCTGGGCTGAAGTGATCCACCCGCCTCAGCCTCCCAAAGTGCTGGGATTACAGGAATGAGCCACTACACCTGGCCATTTTCTTTTATGATATTGTCTTGCTTTTATCATGGCCCAAAAACCTAAACAAAGGAGGCTTTAGTGCCACTGCTCTCTGCATTGGTTAAAACAGATCTTGATTATTGAATTCATTTTTGTAACTGCAAGATCACCACCACCGCCACCACCAGTAATAATGGCAAAACGATTATGATGATTATGAGAGCAGTGACAGCACAGGAATAACTAATAGGTGGAATTTATTGAGCATTTATCATTTACCATGCAGGGCTAAGCTTACGTGAATTATCTCATTCGATCCTTATAGCAATCCTTTGAATCCCACTTTTACAAATGAGGAAATTGAGGCTTAGAATAATTTACCAAAGGTTACACAGATGCTAAGTGGCAGAACTGGGGTTTAGATCTTAATTCATCTTGCCCGAAACCTGTGCTTTTAATGCTCAGTGAGAGATCTCAAAACTGGGTTATATGAAGAATGATGGTAGGATTTTCGGAGAAGTAGAGGGCTGTTACGACCTGGATTTAAATTCCAGTTCTGCCACTTGTTAGCTTGTGATATTGAGAAAGTTACTTAACTTCTCTGAGTCAGTTTGCTATTCAGTAGTGTGGAGCCTTTCTTTGCAGGGTTATTGTGAGAATCGAGTTAGATTATATGAATAAAACACAAAACACAGTACCTTGCACATAGTTGCTACTCTGTAACTAGGATTTATTATGCCATCATTCTTTGAAAATTTGTGATGTGGAAAAGGGATCAGTTGCATCAGAGGTCAGAACTAGAATCAATTCAAAGAAGTTATAGGAAGGTAGAGATGAGACCAGTAAAACTAAGAACTTTCTAACATTTTTGAAAAATGCAGTGGACTGCGTTGTAAAATAAATGAGGTCCTTGTCAGGAAGGGATTGGGTGAGTGACCATTTATTAGGAATACTATAGAGAAGATTCTGATTCGTTCGGAAGTTTGGAAGATAAGAAATGTGGTTTTAGCTCTTAAAGATTAATGATTCTGTGTACATCTCAGTGGCTCTTTTTGGTTGTATTCAAGAAAACCTATTATTATGACTACCTACAACAAGAAAGGTTTCATAGAAACCCAAAGTCCTTGATTAGTGCCAGGCATGATGGGGGGCCACCTATGTTTTCACTCTTAATGTAGAAGTAAAAGTGTAATAGGAATTTAGTGTTAGCTTACAAGTGGCTGTTGTGTACCTAGCAGGTTAATAAAAAGGTTTGTAATGAAAGAAATTAACCTTTGCGGGGAAATTGATTAATTAGAGAAGGATCTACAATTCAGCTAATACAGTGACAATCAGGTGCTTATGGAGCTGGCATAACTGAAGACCCCTACTTATTTCTTCATGACCATGTTGGATATGTGTGCGCCCTTAGGTTAGGAATCGGAATGGTTGTAACTTCAGGTTCTTGAGACAGTGCTTCTTGGCTGGATCCTGTGGATTTCCTCAGCATAGGAAATCTTTACTCCCACAGGTGGCAGAGTTTGTGGATGAGCGGCCGGAAGAGGTAAAGCAGATGGAGGCCTTTCGTTCCAGTGCCAAATGGAAGCTTCTGGGAGGTGAGTTCCAACAATAGATAAATCTAAATCTCCATTAGTAGGGGAGGTCTTTTTTTCTTTTCTACACTTTTCTTTTAGAGGAATGCATAGTTTTTTTTAGCATGTCATTGATCCTGAAAAATAAAGCAGGAAAAAGGAAGCTGGACTTCTTCACAAGTAGTAAGACATAGGAACTTAGAGACCAGATATTCCTCTTTCTCTTGTATTTTGGCATTAGGGTTACTGAGGTCGGTGACTAATTTGGAGGCCTGTGAGCACCCATTCCTCTTTGACTCAGAATAGGAGAGCCCTCGGTATATAGGCAAGACTTTGGGAGGAGTTTACAAGAAACAGGAACAGAATTTGGGGACTTTAGCTACCACTGTCCTCTTCCACAATGAAGCAACTCATTTCTGGGGGTTCAAGGACCAATGTTTTTTGTTCTGTTTGTGTTAGTAAATTTCTCTCTTCTTTCCTTAAATATTGGTATTTTACAGTGCATTACCCTCCACCTGCCCACTTTAGACTCTTCCTAAGCTAATATTTATAACTTAACTCTCTTGAAAAAAATTTGAGTCCTTGAGACTTGGATAAAAAGTGTTTGTGTGTCACATCTGTTTGAGCATAGACTGGTCTTATTTGCCATGATAGTCCCCTGTCTAGCACAAGGAGCTGCCTTTAATAAATATCTGTAGAATTGTTTAATTGCTAGTAGGCATTTGATTTTTGTAGCCTAACCAGAATTCTTTTCCAAAGAGAGTCTTTTGGTCTCCATATCTTGTTTGTCTAGGAAGACATACAGACACACACACACAGTGCTTTTCGGTATCTGAATGTTTAGAAAGTCAGTTGCAGACACTCACTCACTCACTCACTCACTCCTTTTCTTCTGCCTTGCTTTCACTTCCTCATCCCAATCTGTTACTGGAAATACGCTTACCAATCTCTGACCCTTACTTCCTTCAGATTTACTGTTAGGCCCCCCACAGACATCATACTTTTCTCTGTGGAGTGGATTCCAATCAGATAGGCCTGTTCCCCAAAGTAAAGGAGTTGACTTGGTTTAATTCATTCATTTAGCAAGTATTCATTGGTTCCTACCCAGCCTTTATTTTTATTTGGGCTATGGAGCTCAATGACAAGAGATAGAGGTAGAGGAAGAACTGGATTTTGAAACCGTTCCAGATGCTATAGATATTTCATTCTGTGGTGCCTTTGAAAATGGAAGGTCTCAAACTTGTTTTTTAAGTTTAAAGATTTACGTATTTTAAAGATTGCATGTGGACTCTGGAGTCAAATAGAGCTGAATTTAAATACTCCTCCACCACTTATTAGCAATATGACTTTGGCAAGTTAATCTTTCTGAGTATTAACTTCCTCATCTATAAAATGGAAATGACAATATTTATGTCCTAGGCTTACGAGAATTGAATCAGGTAATCTCTATAAAACATTGGCACACAGTAGGTGATTGGTAATTACTTGCTCCTTTCTTTTTTTGTGATTTTTTCCGCTCTCTAACGAAGAGCACAGTGAAATGGATTAAATAGTTAACAGCATTTGATTTTGATATTCACTGTTTTAGTCAATTTACCTTTTGAAAGAGGAGTGAGTACAAACTATAAAGTATCTAGGCAAAATATCAGTAGGAGCCACTAGCTGGGAACTCTGCACAAATGAGGTTTTAGAAAGAACATTGGACTGGGAGTTAGAAGACTTGGATTCTAGCCTGTGTCTTCATCTTAGTAGCTGTGACCTTGGGTAAGAAATCGCTCAGCTCCTCAGCTGAAAGCAGAGGCTCTGTTCATAATACAAGGGTACCTGCCCTGCTTACCTTAAAGGGTATAATATGAAAAATGTACTGAAAATGCTTTGCAAATTTATGACTTGGTAGGCGGAGGGGTTATTCTTAAGATATTCATGAGTGGTGATTTGCTGCCGCTAAGCAAGAAAACTGTGCAGGCCTTTTGGGCTTTTTGAGCAGTTCTGAGGTATGTGCTGCTGGAGCATGTCTTGAAACTGGGTGTGGGGGTGGACAGAGGGACAGAGCATTTGTGGGAATCTGACTCTTTGTTTTTTGTGTTTAGGCCACAATGAAGACCTACCCTCACACAGGCATTTTCTTCACGATACCCTAGATTCATCTCCTAGGAGAGTCCGTCATGATACCCCGGATTCATCTCCTAGGAGAGTCCGTCATGATACCCCGGATTCATCTCCTAGGAGAGTCCGTCATGATACCCCGGATTCATCTCCTAAGGGGGCCCGTCATGACACCCCAGATCTTTCTCCCCTCAGAGGGGCTCGTCATGACTCAGACACATCTCCTCCCAGGAGGATCCGTCATGACTCCTCAGACACTTCACCTCCAAGGAGGACCCGTCATGATTCTCCAGATCCTTCTCCCAGGAGGCCTCAGCATAATTCTTCAGGTGCATCTCCTAGGAGAGTCCGTCATGATTCACCAGATCCCTCTCCTCCTAGGCGAGCCCGTCATGATTCCTCAGATATCTCTACTACCAGAAGGGTCCGTAACAACTCCCCTGACACATCTAGGAGGACTCTTGGCTCTTCAGACACACAGCAACTCAGAAGGGCCCATCATGACTCCCCTGATTTGGCTCCTACTGTCACTCATTCCCTCCCCAGAACCAAAAGTGGTAAAGCCCCAGAAAGAGCCTCTAGCAAGACTTCTCCACATTGGAAGGAGTCAGGAGCCTCCCATTCGTCACTCCCAAAGAACAGCAAATATGAGTATGACCCTGACCTCTCTCCTCCACGAAAAAAGCAAACAAAATCCCATTTTGGAGACAAGAAGCAGTTTGATTCCAAAGGTGAGCATATGACTGTCCATGAGAGGGACATATGTATCCCTGGGAGCTTTCTTTTGGCCCTTTACTTGTTTTATTAGGTATGAGAATGGAGTTTCTTTGGGAAAGTTTTGAAAAGTGAGAGGCTGGGTTTGGGAGAGTTAAAGGATTATGGTGGCAGGAGGAAGGTTTTCATGTATCTTTTTATGTACTCGCCCCACCCCATAGAAAAGTACAATTTATTTGTTGCAGAAGCTTTAGAATGTACAGAGGTGTATAAAGATAAAATGTGACACAAAATTCTGTCATTCAGAGGCAATTAGTGTTGTAGCCAGGGCCACCTTAGTCTTTTTTGGTTTGCCTTTTTTATGTAGTTGAGCTCTGGGTCTGTAGAACATTTGTACTGCACGTGCAATCTTGCCTGCTCTCCTTTCTTAACAGTCTTCCTCAGGCCATAAAAACATCTTTATGTTAATATTTTTAATAGTGTTTCATTACATAAATTTAACCATTTTCCTAATAAAGAATGTTTTTGGTTATTTCTAAGTTTTTGCTTCTGTAATTCTATAATGAACATCCTTGTACATAAACTGTTGTCCCCATTTTGGATTATTTCCTTATCTACTTCTAGATAGATTTCCTGGAAATTCAACTACTTCTATATAGGTTTCTTAGAAAGCTGAGAAGTTGATGTACTGGGTCAGAAGATGTGGCCGTTTTAAAGACTGTCGATACGTATTGCAGAATGCTCTTTGGGAGGTGACTTGTGATGCTTATACAGTTACTAGAATTTAGGCCTGTGCAGTTAAATTTTTTATTCCCTCTTTTGTTCCCAGGAACTATTTTAATTTTAAGTTAAAGCACTTTGTTATCCTTTAGTCCGAGGATATCAGAATATAATTCTAGGTATTTCTGACTTTTGCCACACTATGGAGAGCTGTCTTTCCATGAGTGGGGTTACTGACATAGAGGAGTGTGTGGAGATCTTACACACCAGTTACAGTCAGTGGTCACTTGGGAATAGAATGCCATCTTCTACCTATTGGTCTTAAAAGTTGTTTCTGACTTTGCTCTTCTCCTATGTCATCCATAGTTATGTTTAGGTTAATGATAATTCTTCATAGAAAAACTAAATAAATATTGTACATTAGTTTGGTAAGTTATTTTCTTAAATTCTTCCAAGGGGATTAAAGAACTCTTTGGCCAGGCATGGTGGCTCAAGCCTATAATCCTAGCACTTTGGAGGCCGAGGCAGGCGTTCAAGACCAGCCTGGCCAACATTGGCGAAACCCCATCTCTACTAAAAACACAAAAATTAGCTGGGCATGGTGGCACACACCTGTAATTCCAGCTGTTTGGGAGGCAGAGGCACAAGAATTGCTTGAACCCAGGAGGCGGAGATTGCAGTGAGCTGAGATCACGCCACTGCGCTCCAGCCTGAGACTCTTGTCTCAAAAAATAAAATAAAATAAAATAAAAGGAATTCTTTAATTTCTAGGTTCTTCTCCCAGCCATAGGAGATTTCATGTAAGTTCTTCACCTAGGGGACATCAGAGTCACACAGATTCTTTGCTCCTATCCAGGTGACTGCCAGAAAACAACTGATTCAGACCTTTCTTCTCCACGGCATAAACAAAGTCCAGGGCACCAGGATTCCGATTCAGATCTATCACCTCCACGGAATAGACCCAGACACCGGAGCTCTGATTCTGACCTCTCTCCACCAAGGAGGAGACAGAGGACCAAATCTTCTGATTCTGACCTGTCCCCACCTCGAAGGAGTCAGCCTCCTGGAAAGAAGGTCAGGATTTTCAGGAGCCATGTCCTTCTTTTTGTGTGACTCTTCTCTCTCAGTTTTATATATGTCCCAGATAAGCCAAGAAGAAGGATGTAGCTCTTAGAAGTGTAGTAAATCTTAGTTAAAAGGACCTTTGGAGGTCTTTCTTTCTGAAGGCAAACTGGCTATAACCCATCCCGGATGGACTTACAGATACCAGATTTCCCAAGTAGCTTCTGCTTTTATAGCCTCTTAATTCTACAATCTCATTTTAACAGGTCCAGAAAAGCTTCCTATTTTCTTAGGAATAAACTGAGGACTGTAATTTGCAGAGTGGAGTTTGGAGCACAAACATTGTGTCAAACGGATCATATGGCAAGATGCTTAATATCTCTAAACCTCAGTTTCTTTATCTGTAAATTGTGGATAATAGTAGTACCTACTGTGTAAGGTTGTTATGATAATTAAGCCAGTGTAAGTAAACCTCTTAGTACAGTGTCTGGGACAAAGTAAGTATCTAGTGTTAGTGATTTACTACTATAAATTGGACTATAGGTCTCTGTATCCAGAACTTAAGAACAGACACTTAAAATATGAAACCACTTTTAGAAATCATGTTGTCCGAAAGGTCAATGTTTTGTTTTGAATTCATGATAAAGCTTGATGAATTAACCAAAAAACCCAAAAATCCATATGAACCCTGAGTAATTATATTGTAAAGAACATTGGTAGTAGTAAAGGAATCTTATTTGTGAGTGGTTAAGAAACAGAATGATAGAGGCTGTGATGTGCATTTTTCTCCCCAGTGCAGACTTATCGGGTAAATCTTGTCTGTAGAAAACTCTGAGAAGACTGGTCCTGGCAGGGTAGACCAGCTTGTTCTTTACCCAGGGAGTGAAATTCTTCTCTTTTAGGGAAAAAAGCGGTCTCTGTTTCAGCTGGACCCCTTGACATTTTATATGTCTGTTTAGTTCATGGACAACTTAATATTAGTCCAATTTGGTTGCTTAAGGATATCAGGATACACTGTGTGCTTCATTCGTGGGCTGGTTTGCTATCTTGATACTAAGTGGAAATTAGCAAAAAGTTTTCATTTGGTTAGATCTTTTGTTATTACCCTGAAATATATCCACAATTTAAGGGTCTTAGGTTTACTTGAGTTTGTACTGTAAATGAAATATTTTATCAGTGTCGGTCTCTAATGGAAGGCTTAGTGCTTTATACTGGTTTCTGATCAGATGACCTGAGAGAATCTTCATGTGTGCAGTTTATATTCTGAAAAGTCAGAAATGCAAATGTGTAGCTCTCCCTTTAATATATTGTTAGTTTGTGTTTCTGCTTACTCTTAAACTTGATGGTTTTGATGAAATTTGATTTTCTTTTATAGTTTTTGAATCCTACGGTAATTAATGAGAATATAAAGCTAGAGTTTGAGGTTTAATTATTGCTGGTCATCAGACACAAATGCAACTAACTGTGTACCCATGGAGCCTACTGCCACATCATCTCATTAATGTTGGATGCTCCCTTTTCCATTGCATAGGCTGCACACATGTATTCTGGGGCTAAAACTGGGTTGGTGTTAACTGACATACAGCGAGAACAGCAGGAGCTCAAGAAACAGGATCAAGAAACCATGGCATTTGAAGGTAAAAATATGAAAGTGCAGAGACCAATCCAGGCTCATTTTTTTTTTTTTTAATTTAGTTTATTGTACCTGGTATTTTAAACTTTTAATTGCTATCAAATTTCAGCTCTGGTTTTATGCATGGTTGTAATTTCTCAGTGAGTCCCAGTGTTTCTTTCCTTCTTGAAAAATGCCATTTCACCCAGGCGTGGTGACTCATTGTAATTCCAGCACTTTGGTAGTCCGAGGCGGGTGGATCAGCTGAGGTCCGTAGTTTGAGACCAGCCTGGCTAACATGATGAAACCCCGTCTCTACTAAAAATAGAAAAAAACTAACCAGACGTGGTGTTGCATGTCTGTAATCCCAGCTACTCAGGAAGCTGAGAGAGGAGAATCGCTTGAACCCGGGAGGTGGAGGTTGTGGTGAGCCAAGATCGCGCCACTGCACTCCAGCCTGGGCAACAGAGCGAGACTCCATATCAAAAAAAAAAAAGAAAAATGCCATTTCTCGGGCCCAGTGCCAGTATGCACCTAGATGTTGGTAGGAACTACTTTGGTCTGGCTGCAGAAGTTCTTATCCAGCATTAGAATCCCAAGCGGTTGATTTGATCTCTTAGAATGTTATTTCTGATTTTGATCCTGATATTTGAGTATAATTTTCCTTTGCAGCTGAATTTCAATATGCTGAAACCGTATTTCGAGATAAGTCTGGTCGTAAGAGGAATTTGAAACTGGAACGTTTAGAGCAAAGGAGGAAAGCGGAAAAGGACTCAGAGAGAGATGAGCTGTATGCCCAGTGGGGAAAAGGGTAAGGGAACCACTGAAAGGGTAAACAAGATGGCAGTGACTGGAACAAGTCATTTCTCTGCTCTTCTTGATCACTCACTTTCTTATTATGCCTTCAGAGCTGTTACCAGTAATGGGAAATTTGGTGTGCTGAATCTTCTTCCTAGGATATTGATATATTCCACACTTCCAGTGGATATCCTGGGAATTTTACCCTGCTCAGTATTTGCCCTAGGGTACTACTAGAAAGAGGAGAGTCTCCAAATTTAGCAGTATGGTCCATCTTGTGTAGAAGTGGAAATGTCATACAGGATAGCAAACACTCTTGGTTCTTTTTTGCCCAGGCTTGCCCAGAGCCGGCAACAGCAACAAAATGTGGAGGATGCAGTGAAAGAGATGCAAAAGCCTCTGGCCCGCTATATTGATGACGAAGATCTGGATAGGATGCTAAGAGAACAAGAAAGAGAAGGGGACCCCATGGCCGACTTCATCAAGAAGAATAAGGCCAAGGAGAACAAGAATAAAAAAGGTGGGACTTCTGGGAATCATCAGAGCTGGAGGTGACTTGTGAAGAGAGAGAATCATTAGGATGCTGATACATAGCTGTATGCAAGGAAGGATTTCCCAAATAATTTAAATTCGTTGTATTTGTGAGTTTAGATTCAACTCAACTGGTCTTTCTATGTGAAAATTTTTCCGGGCCAGGCGCGGTGGCTCATGCTTGTAATCCCAGCACTTTGGGAGGCTGAGGTGGGTGAATCACCTGAGGTCAGGAGTTGGAGACCAGCCTGGCCATGGTGAAACCCCGTCTCTACTAAAAATACAAAAAAAATTAGCTGGACATGGTGGTGCACGCTTGTAATCCCAGCTACTTAGGAGGCTAAGGCACGAGAATCACTTGAACCCAGGAGGCAGAGGTTGCAGTAAGCCGAGATTGTGCCACTGTACTCCAGCCTGGGCAACAGAGTGAGACTCTATTAAAAATAATGATAATAATAATAATAAAAAATTCCCACATTGCCATCCAGCTCTGAATTAAATTATGTCATTAACTAAATACTTTTTTTTTACTCCTCTCTTTAGTGAGACCTCGCTACAGTGGTCCAGCACCTCCTCCCAACAGATTTAATATCTGGCCCGGATATCGCTGGGATGGAGTGGACAGGTAAGCCTGGGTATTTCTTAGGTTTTTATTTTCTCTTCTACCTGACTGTAACCTTCCCTAACCACTCGTAAGTTGCTCCACACTTTATTTCATTCTCTGCTTTAATCACAAGGTGAAAAATATGCACTTTGCTTGCTTCTATTCCTGGGGTCCACAAATCCTATTTTTCATGCTTGGAACACTCCTCTTTCTGTTTCCTTTTCATAACACTTTTTAAAGCTCTGTACAAACAACTCAGGTGGTTCAGATAAGACACCCTTTGTTTTGGACATTGGTTACTTTTAATGATATTTTCTAAGGTTTAGAGGGGTCGAGTGATGAGTCGTAGTCTGGAGCCTTCTATGTGATATGTCTTTAAAATGTAGCCTCTGAATCTTTATTCACTTTACGGTCTTAGGAGGCAGTCACTTATAATGTCTCACGGTCCTCTACCACCTCATCTGTCTACCTACCAGCATCTGTACCCACATGCTCTAACTTCCTGTCTGTTATGATGGATGAACTATATTTGCTTCCATCCAGAGTCAGTTCGTGTACTTACGTATTAGATTCTATCTCCTCTTGCCTGCTAAAAGGACATTGTTTTAGTATCTAGCACAATAATTCTCAAACTTTTTAATTTCAGGATCCTTTTACACTCTTTTTTTTTTTTTTTTTGAGATGGAGTCTCACCCTGTTGCCCAGGCTGGAATGCAGTGGCGCAATCTCAGCTCATTGCAACCTCTGCCTCCTGGGTTCGAGCGATTCTCCTGCCCCAGTCTCCTGAGTAGTTGGGATTACAGGCGCATGCTGCCATGCCCAGCTAATTTTTTATATCTTTAGTAGAGACAGGTTTTCACTATGTTGCCAGGCTAGTCTCGAACTCCTGACCTTAGGTGATACGTCCACCTTGGCCTCTCAGAATACTGGGATTCCAGGTTTACAGGATTACAGGATTACAGGTGAGCCACCATGCCCAACCACTCTTGTGTTTTGTTGTTGTTGAGGCAGAGTCTTGCTCTGTTGCCCAGGCTGGAGTGCAGTGGTGCGATCTCCACTTCCCGGGTTCAAGCAATTCTCATGCTTCTGCGGCCTGAGTAGTTGGGATTACAGGTGTGCATCACCATACCCAGCTAATTTTTGTATTTTTAGTAGAGACGGGGTTTTTGCCACGTTGGCCAGGCTGGTCTTCAATTCCTGGGCTTATATGATCGTCTGCCTCGACTTCCCAAAGTGCTGGGATTACAGGCTTGAGCCACCGTGCCTGGCCTACACTCTTAAAAATTACTGATGACCTCAAAAAGCTTTTGTTGATGTGGATTATATATATTGATATTTACCATGTTATAAATTAAAACTCAGACATTTAAAAAGTGTTTATTCATTCTAAAAAATAATAAACTAATTACATTAACATAACTTTTTTTATTATTATACTTTATATTCTAGGGTACGTATGCACAACATGCAGGTTTGTTACATATGTATACATGTGCCATGTTGGTGTGCTGCACCCATAATTACTGTATTTTTAAATGAAAAATGATTACATTTTCCAAGTGAAAAAATAGAAGGATGGCATTGATTTACATTTTTGCAAATCTCATTAATGTCTGACTTAATAGTAGGTAACTTGACTGCATTTGTCTGCTGTGATATGTTGTTCAGTTGAAGTATAGGAAGAAAATTTAGCCTCACACATAGGTAGTTAGAAAGAGAAGGCATATTATATTTCTTAATGTTAACACAAAAACTCAACAAGTGCTGGTTTCTTAAAGGTGAGCTATGTGGAACCTGAAACCAGATCAAAGAACTTTCATTACTGTTATATTAATTTTTTTTAATACTTTGAGTGGATCTTTTACAACATGCATGATTTTATAACATCATGCATTGGTCATTTGTAAAATATTGGTTTGCTGAGTTTTTCAGACCTTCCAAATGTTGACATATTTCCACTATACAATATTAGAAAGTCACTTTTGTTAACATCATTTCTGGTCTCATCACAAAAATCTTTAAATAATGGGAAGTTAAAGAGTTCACAGTTTTTCAGAATTCTAATTTACACTTGAAAGTTTAAATGTTATCACTGGCATTTCCATTGCTTGAGCTGTTTCCATTTAATAGCTTAATTTCTCTGCTGAGATTTCCCATCTGTTCATTATGAGATATTTTCCTCTTCTTGAAAATATTTTTGATATATAATTGGTGCTTTGAAGTCCTTCCTGTCTGCTAATTGCAACATTTGATTCACCACAGGATTGGTTTCTATATTGGCAGCTTTTTCTTCAGTGTGGATTACATTGACTGTTTATTTACCTGTCTGGTCACTTTTTTAAATTGTTACTAGACATCATGAATGATACACTGTAGAGACTTTGAGCTCTGTTACACTGTAATGTCAGTTGTTTTCCTTCTGGTAAAGCTCACTTTGTACAATAGCTTTTTAAGAGATTCCATCAGATTTTGTACCTAGAGGGTCGTTCCATCTTTGCATGCAGTTTGATTTCTTACTTTCCAATCTAGATGCTTTTTGCTTCTTTTTCTTGCCCTGTTCCATTAGCTGGCACTTCAGTGCAGATGTCGAATAGAAGTAGTGAGAGCAGACATCTTTGCTTTGTTCCTAATCTGAGGAGGAAAACATTTAGTTTTTTACCATTAAGTGTGTTGTAAGCTGTAGGTTTTTTGTAGATACCCTTTATCGAGTTAAAGTTCCCTTCTATTCCTGTTTTGCTGAGAGTTTTGTTTTCAGGAATGTATATTGGATTTTGTTCAAAATATTTTCTAATTATCCTTTTGGTTTATTCTTTGCTCCATAGGTTATTTAGGAGTGCATTAATTCCAAATATTTGGACTTTTCTAGATATCTTACTGGTATTTACTTGTAATTTAATTCAATTTTGGTCAGATAGTATACTGTAATATTTTGATCTTTTGAAATTTGTTGGTCAGGCGCGGTGGCTCATGCCTGTAATCCCAACACTTTGGGAGCCCAAGGCAGATGAAATTGCTTGAGCCTCGGAATTTGAGACCAGCCTGGGCAACATGGCAAAACCCTGTCTCTACAAAAAAATATAAAAATTAGTCGGGCATAGTGGCACAAGCCTGTAGTCCCAGCTACTCTGGAGGCTGAGGTATGAGGATCACTGAGCCCAGGGAGGTCGAGGCTGCAATGCGCTGTGATTGCACCACTGCACTCCAGCCTGGATGACAGAGTGAGACCCTGTCTCAAAAAACAGTAATACAAATGAAATTTGTTAGATGTGTTTTATGGCCCAGTATATAGTCTGTCTTCTGAATGTTTCGTTTGCACTTGAAGAGAACGTATATTCTGTAGTTATAAAAGGTAGTGTTTTATAAATGTCAATGAGGTCAAGGTGGTTAATAGTGTTTAGATCTTAGATCACCTATGTTCTGGGTTTTTTTGTGTCTGTATTTTTCTATCAGTTACTATCAATTGTGGATTTTTTGTTTTAGCTGGTTTATTTTGTTTTTCAACTAAAATTTCCATTTAATAGCTTGCATTTCTCTGCTGAGATTTCCCATCTGTTCATTATGAGACATTTTCCTCTTCTTGAAAATATTTATGATACATAATTGGTGCTTTGAAGTCCTGTCTGCTAATTGCAACATTTGATTCACCACAGAATTGCTCTCAATTGACTGCTTTTTCTTCAATGTGTATTGCATTTTCCTGTTTATTTACCTGTCTGGTCACTTTTTAAAATTGTTACTAGGCATCATGAATGATTCACTGTAGAGACTTTGAGTTCTGTTACACTGAACTGAAGTGTAACACATTCCTCTTAAGTGTGTTGGCTTTTATTCTAGCAGGTAGCTAACATGGCTGAACTCCAAACTGTCTCCTTTGCAGTGGACCGCAGCTACAATCTCTGCTCAGTTCTTTTAGTTTCTAGCTGTCATTTTTTTTTATTGGCCTGATGGTATTTTCTCTGCACATGTGTTGTTTAACAGTCAGCCAAGGATTTGAGTAGGGTTTCTATGTAGATTTTGAGGTTCATCCCTTTTGTAGTTCCTTCTCTTTCAAGATTTCCCTCCTAATTTCCTAGCTGTTCTGCCCACTTTGCACTAACTCCTCAAGCCAGTAAGCCTGTGACTTTCTGCCTTCATGAGCTGTGCTGTTTGGGAAGTTGCCCTCTAGCAAATCTCTTCTCATATATAGACTTCATCCAGTTTATACTTACTTTTGGTCACTCTTCCACATGTTCAAATACCTGTATTTCTTCACTTCGCCTAGGTTTCATAGTTGCTAACTGAGGATAGGTTAGTCTGCTCAGGGTACTCTGCAGTGTCTAGAATCTAACTCCCCACCTTATATGGGCCTAAGGCATTGTCTTCTGTCCCTCATGGTGCTGTCAAAATCCAACAGCCAGGTGTGGTGGCATGTGTCTGTAGTACCAGCTACTTGGGAGGCTGAGGCAGGAAGATCCCATGAACCCAGGAGTTAAAGTCCAGGCTAGGCAACTTAGTGAGACCCCATCTCTAGAATAAAAAATTGTAAGACTCTTTTTTCTGATATTGACAGATGTCTATAAGATGACTGTAGTTCCTCATCTTGTTAGATATCTTTACGGTAGTTGTGGTTACAGGCTAGCTTACTAGTTCCGTTTGCGGTTCACTACATGAACTGCAAAAAGTATGTAGGCTTTTGGTAGAAGGAGGATTTTTCAGAATACTCATTTGCCATACATATGGCCAGAAGTAGATCTTTTTATAGCACAACCCTACAGATGTTCCCTGCTACCGAGTTTTTGTTTTTTGTTTTTTAATTTTTGGACCCAAAACTTAGAATTCTCCCTGACCTAGTTTTTTACTAGTGTTTAATTTGTCTTCATCTTTCTCAGTTGCTTTTTTCCACTTCTTCTTCTGATTTTATCCTAGATTTCTCCTCTTACTTCCCTTTGTCACCCTTGCTTTCTTTCTGTTACTCATCTTTCATCATCTTTCCTAGTTTTGTCTCTATTCGGCCCACTGCAAGGGGATATTTCCAGAACAGATATATAGTATGTTACAGTTGGAAAAACCCATGAGGTAATTACCCAGCCCCTATTAATTAAAAGAGAAACTGAAGCCCAATAAATAAGCAGTTTGCCTAGAGGCATGCAGTTTCCCTGAGAAAGCTGGAATTAGAATTCTGTTCCTGATTCTCTGGTCCAAAGCTCTTTCCACTGTGAGTTCTCTTGCAATTTGTTTTCTGATTCTGCTTAGGATTTGGTGTTTGTTATTCATATGTCCTTTGTATTATCATATTAGTATAAATCTCTTAAGACCTTATTACCAAGGTAAAAAACAGTGGTTTCCTTGGTGCTTTGGAGTACCATCCATGTTTCTACGGTTGGAGAGGATGCCATTTATAATAAACTTCCCTTCTTCTTCTTCTTCTTTTTTTTTTTTTGAGATAGAATTTCGCTCTTGTCGCTCAGGCTGGAGTGCAGTGGCATGATCTTGGCTCACTGGAACCTCCACCTCCTGAGTTCAAGCGATTCTTCTGCCTCAGCCTCCCGAGCAGCTGGGATTACAGGCGTGTGCACCACACCCAGCTAATTTTTGTATTTTTTTGGTAGAGACAGGGTTTCACCATGTTGGCCAGGCTGGTCTCAAACTTCTCACCTCAGGTGATCCACCTGCCTTGGCCTCCCAAAGTGCTGGGATTACAGGCGTGAGCTGCCATGTCCGACCAAGTTTCCCTTCTTAAAGCCCTCCATTACTCCACTCATTCCTTAAGGGAAAGTCTTAGCATACATGTTATAAGTGTAAGTAGCTAGGTACTAGGTACTAGGGATTCCATGATTAATGAGAGATAGCCCCTGAGCCCAGGAGCTCACTTTCAGTCTAGAATAGAAGACAGACAATTTCAATGCATTCAATTTCAATGCTGCTATAGAAGATTTTCAAGATGTTTTGGGAGCACAAAGGAAGAGTGAGTTGAGCCTTAGGAGGATGTGATCAGGAAGTGCTTCCTAACGGATGAAATATGGGAGCTGAGTTTTAAGGGATATTGGTAAATCAGCCAAGATAAGAAGGAAAGGAAAGATGTTAAAGGAAGAGGGTCCTATATGTGCAGTCATAAGGCTATGAGACACCATGGTGATACCAGGTGGTGGGGGTCCATAAGTAATTTGCTGTTGTTGGATAGCATGAAGTTTGAGATGGATGAGAGAGGTTGGCAGACCCTGATCACAGAAGGCCCTGGAAGCCTTTCTGAGGAGCTTGGTCTTCACTCTAGAGGTAAAGGGGAGCCACGGAAGGATTAAAAACAGCTCTGCAATTTAGATAGACAAATCCATTATAGCAGTAATGCAAAGGATTTGAAAGGCACAAGATTGGAAGTAGAACAGATACAAGGCTTTTGCAGTAGCTCAGGCTAAAGGTAATGAATGTCTGAACTATGACCTTCAGGCAGTGGTAGTAAGGATGGTTAGTAAGAGAATAGGAAGTGGGAATGTGGTTGGGGTGAGCTGGAGGGACCTGTTTGCTGATTTGGGGAAGAGGAAGGAGGAGTCACTGGATTTGGCAGCAAGGAATATCATTGATGACTTGAAAGGGCTAGTTCCATGGTATAGTGAAACAATGGCCAGGTTCTAATGTATTAAGGAGTGAATGAAAAGTGAGGAAACAAATAGTGAATACAGGCTGTTTCAAGAAATTTAGATAAGAAGACCAAGAGAATGCATGGTAATTAGAAGGGGTTTGAGGACCACTCACTACCTCCTTGAAATTCACCCCTGTTTTGTTTTCCATGACAGCCTACTCCTGGTTCTTTTCTCTGATCATTCTTGGGCCACCTTTGCAAACTCCTCTTCCTCTGTGCGCCTCTTAAATCTTTCCCAGGGCTCCATCCGTAATTTTTAGCTGTTCTCACTCTATGTGCTCCCTCTGGCTGATTCTTATCTAGTCATGTTTTCAACTATGAGCTATATGTACATGATTTCCAAATCAGTATTCGCATCTTGGTCTGGTGTATTTAGCTATGTGTTGGATTTCTCTATTGATTTGGACTTGAGAGATTTCAAATGCATCGTATTTAAAGCTGAACTCATCATCTTCTACTGTAGCCTGCTACTACTCTTGTGCTCTCTAATTTGCCTCCTCCTTCTTTGTCCTTGTGTACCTAATCAATTAGTCCTACTAATTAGTCTTACTAATTTTGCCTGCTGTATCTTCTCTCTTCCATCCCTCTTTATCATTGTCTTCATCATCTGTTGCCTGGACCATTGCAGTGATTTTCCTGCCCCAGATCTCCTCCAGAGTGATCTCTTTGAAATGCAGTTTAAGTTCTTGCTTTAAACCTATCCTTTCTGGATGAAATCTAAGCTTTTTACCATGGCCTACAAAGCTCATTATGCATTGGCCTCTGCTTACCTTTCCAACTTTGACTCATGGCTGTTCCCTTTGTCATACTTCAGGCTCCAGCCATACCAGTTTGCCTTTGGTTTGCTGCACATACCAGGCCACTTCTTATTTCTGTGCCTTTGTTCTTGTTGCTCATTCTGTTCGAAATGACCTCCAGACCCTTCTGACCCTTCCCATCCCCAGCGCTGTAGTTAACACAAAGCCTTTACTGATCATTCTTGCCCAACCCTCATGTCACCTTTTTATCATACCTCCCCAAAGCTGATTAAGATACCCATTCTGTTTCCATGATACCCCATACGTATTTCTGCCAGAGTTTAAGCGGTTCTTTTAATTTATTTGTTTAAATGTCTGTCTCTTCCACTAGTCTGGGAGTTCATCAGGACAAGTGCTGTGTGATACTCATTTTCATGCAGTGCCTACCATGGTACCTAGTATATAAACAAAATTCAATACATGTTTTTGTAATGAATGGATAAAATATAGGATGTGGACATCAGCTGAAAGAGAACTGGGCTTTTAAAGAGTGGCAAATGTTTGAAATAGCTGTCAGAGTGGGGGAAGGGTCTGAACGAGGACCAAGAAAAGGATGAATGATATATTTTGTCCCTTTGATTCTATTGCATATGCCTTAAATATTTTCTTTTCTTTTCTTTTCTTTTTTTTTTTTTGAGACAGAGTCTCACTACGTTACCCAGGCTGGAGTGCAGTGGCACGATCTCAGCTCACTGCAGCCTCCGCCGCCCACGTTCAAGCGATTCTCCTGCTTCAGCCTCCTGAATAGCTGGATTACAGGCACCTGCCACTGCATCCAGCTAGTTTTTGTATTTTTAGTAGAGACAGGGTTTCACCATATTGGTCAGGCTGATCATGAACTCCTGACCTCGTGATCCACCCGCCTCAGCCTCCCAAAGTGCTGGGATTACAGGCGTGAGCCACCATGCCCTGCCATGCCTTAAATATTTTCATATGACTCCTTACTTTCCCCCCATTTCATTATATTGTGAACTCTTCCCTTTCTTTTAAAATAAATGTCTCTTTCAGGGTTCTGGCTGAATAGTATATCTCTTTTGATTGCAGATCCAATGGATTTGAACAGAAGCGCTTTGCCAGGCTTGCCAGCAAGAAGGCAGTGGAGGAACTTGCCTACAAATGGAGTGTTGAGGATATGTAACTTTCCTGAGGCTGTGGGGGTGGCTGGGCTGTGGTAGTGGGCATAGGCAGCGAGATATCCAGTGGTAACAGTTGTCTGTGCTAATAATTGGAGCCCACAAAGACCAGCAACTTGTTGAATGCCAGTTTTGACCACAGAAGAATATTTGAGACCTGATGTTTGGACTGAGGTACCTGTACTTCTTGGGTATGACAACCCCGGCTGTTGCTGGCTTTCAGAGGAAGCATTGATTTCTCAGTGTACCAGGGGTTGTTCTTGGTTAGGGTTTTTCTTTTCCTTTTTTAAATAAACATATATTTATTTTTTTTAAAATTATTTTCTTAACTGGGTATTCTGTTTTGGGAAGAATACAGGCTAATATTGAACCCGTGGGGATTTGGGGGGTGGTGGTTGAATTTTTCACTAATCTAGAAAGCAGTATGAGTAAAAACTTTTCTTAGCGATAGATCCTTCCTTTGAGAAAACAGGAATTAGTACTAAACTAGGCTCAGGAATAGACACACAGATATTTGGAGACATGGTGTATGATAAAGGTAGTGTCACAAATTAGTAGGGAAGAGATGGATAATAGTGCTCAGAAAATTGACTTATTATATGGACAAAAATTAAGTTGAACCCTCATACCATATAAAACAAAAATCCCAAAGTGATTAAAGACCTAAATGAAAGATACCATGATATACAGCTAGTAGGAACAATTGGCAAATATTTTTGTGCCTTGGGGTAAAGATAAATTTCTTAAATAAGATCCCAAAGCACAATGCATAAGATTTGATAGCTTTGATTACTTTGTAATTAAAGGTTTCTATTTGGCAAAGCATCCCATAGGCAAAGCTAAAAATGGATATGGATTAGGAGAAAATACTTTCAGTGTCTAGAACTGACAAGGATTGCATATACAAAGGATAGAATATAGAAAGAGCTTCTGCAAATCATGAAGAAAAAGACAAATAAAAATATGCAAAAATATGAATAGGTAAAATCTAAAGAGAAAAACCAGAGTGGCTCATAAGTATATTACCTCACTAGTAATTAGAGATATGCTAATTAAAACACTGAGTTTCTACCTTACATCTTAGTTTGGCAAAAATAAGCAAGAGACTGATCTGATGGGGAATCAGAACTCATGGAATATTTTCTCTTCTCTTCTCTTTTCTCCTCTTCTTCTTTTCTTTCCTTTTCTCTTTCTCTCTCTTTTTTTTTTTTTTTTTTTTTTTTTTAAAAACAAAATCTCACTCTGTCGCCCAGGCTGGAATGCAGTGGTGCCTCTGCTTCCCACATTCAAGCAATCCTCCTACCTCAGTCTCCTGAGTAGCCGGGACTGTAGGCATGCGCTATACAGTTTTTGTTTTTTTAGTAGAGATGCGGTTTCACCGTGTTGGCCAGGCTGGTTTTGTACTCCTGACCTCAGATTATCCGCCCGCCTTGGCCTCCCAAAGTGCTGGGATGACAGGCGTGAACCACTGTGCCCGTCTACATGGAATATTTCAGCTGGTGTATTCATTTTGGAGAACAAATGAATGAAACTCACTGAAATTAATATCTAGGGAGCAATATTGCAGTTTTTAATAGTGTGGCTCTGAAGCTGTACTGCTTGAATTTGAATCCCAGCTATGTCATTTGCTAGCTGTGTAGCCTTTGGTAAGCCAGTTAACTTCTCTATGCCTTAGTTTTTTCATCTGTGAAATAGACATAATAGTACCTACCTCATAGGTTTATTGGAAGCTTCGAACAATGCCTGGCATACAGTAGTATCACAAAATTATGAGCTGTTATTATCACCGTCATCATTATCATCAAGTGGCGTAGCCAGCTTCCAAGATGGCCCCTAATGATCTCTGCCCTGTAGTATATAAGCCCTCGTATAGTCCCCTCCCACAATAAATAAGGTTGACCTGTGTAACCAATAGGATGTACTAGAAATGTGTGACTTAGGAAGGTAGGTCATAAAAGGTATTAAAACATCTGCCTTGTGCTATCTTGGATCCTTGCTCTGGAGGATGCCAGCTTCCATATCATGAGGACACTCAAGCAGCCCTCTGGAGAGGCCCAGGTAGAGAGGCACTGAGGCCACACCAACAGCCAGCACCAAATTGCTGACTGTAGGAGTGAATCACCTTGGAAGTGCATCCGCCAGCTCTACTCAAGCCCGCTGTCAGGCTTACAGCCCTGATCGACCTCGTAAGAGATCCTGACCCAGAACACCCAGCTCCAGATTCTTGAGCCAAAGAAACTCTGAGATAATAAATGTTTAGTAGTTATTTATTTATTTATTTGAGATGGAGTCTCACTCTGTTGCCCAGGCTGGAGTTCAGTGGCATGATCTTGGCTCACCACAGCCTCTGCCTCCCGGGTTCAAGTAATTCTCCTGCCTTAGCCTCCTGAGTAGCTGGGACTACAGGTGTGCACCACTATGCCTGGCTAATTTTTGTGTTTTTAGTAGAGGTGGGGTTTCACTATGTTGGCCAGGCTGGTCTTGAACTCCTGACCTTGTGATCCGCCCACCTCAGCCTCCCAGAGTGCTGGGATTATAGGCATGAGCCACTGCGCCCGGCCATGTTTAGTATTTTTTAAAAACAGTTTTATTGAAATACAACTTATATACTACACAATTCATCCACTTAAGGTGTATGATTCAGTCAGTGGCTTGTAATATATCACAGAGTTGTGCAACCATCACCACAATTTTAAAACATTTTTATCATCTTGTGAGTACAAGAAACCTTGTACCCATTAGCAGTCACTCCCCACTTTCCCCTAACTTTTCCAGCCTTAGGCAAACACTAATCTACTTTCTGCCTGTATAGTTTGCCCGTTCTGGACTTTCGTAGTAAGATATGAATGGGACTCTCATATAATATTTGGCCTTTTGTGTCTGGCTTTTTGTGCTTAGCATAATGTTTTCAAGGTTCATCCATGTTGTAATATATATCAGCACTTCATTCCTTTTTAAGGCTGAATAATATTCCCTTGCACGGATATACCACATTTTATTTATGTGTCATTTGATGAACATTCAAGTTGTTTCCACTTTTTGGGTATTATGAATAATGCTGCTGTGAAAATTCATGTATAAGTTTTTGTATGGATGTATATTTTCCTTTTTCTATTCCTAGGAGTGAAATTGCTGGGTCATATGTAACTCCATCTTTAACTTTTTGAGGCACTGCCAAACTTATTCCAAAGAAATGTATGGGCGTTCCAAGTTCTCCACATGCTTGCCAACACTTATTATTTGTCTTTTTGATTATAGCCATCCTAGTGGGTGGGAGGTGGTATATCTCATTATGGTTTTGATTTGCACTTTCCTGGTGGCTGGTGATGTTGAGCATCTTTATATATCTTTTGGAGAAATCTTTATTCAAACCCTTTGCCCGTTTTTCATTTGGGTTATTGGTTATATATACACATACACAGGCACTCTCTTATGTAAAGGGTTCTTTATATATATCTTGGTTATAAGTCCTTTACTAGATATGCAAATACTTTCCTCATTCTGTGAGTTGTTATTGTTTTAAGCTGCTCAAGCATTTAGGGAAGGAAATTTGCATTTAGGGTGGGTAAGCAACAGCAGGTACAGTTATAAGCATAACAATTGTTACACAGCAACAGATAACTAATACTTTAAATATGTACATACTTCAAAGTAGTTCCACTCCTGGCTATATCCTTCAGAGAAATTTGCATAAATCCTTGAGGAGTAGATACAAGGATGTTTTTCTATGTATAGTTTGGGTGGCAAGAATTTGGAAAAAACTTAGATGTCCATCACTAAGGAAATTGATAAGTAAAATGTGGTATATACATATAATGGAGTATTTTTTTTTAAGTCAAATGCAAGCTATTAGGAATTTAGTGAAATGATAGACTTCAAGTGAAAAAAAATGAGGAACAATGAAATTTAAAGCAAAAATCAGCTATGTGAATTAAACACATGAAGTGATATTATTTTATAAGGAGGATATATACCTTAATCAGTAGAATAGGTCTGTGGGAGGGAACAGAATGAGACTAGAATGGAGAATGAAGCAGGGAAAGGGAAGCAAAGAGGGCTTTGCATGGATGAAAGTGATCGTGTGTCATGAACTGAGGCCTGTGATAACCCAGTTCTGTGCACCTGAAGCCCTGAGTGCAGCTCCAGAAGCAAGGTCTGCTTTCATGGAATTGACATTTAGTACCCATATTAGTTAGGGTAGACTAAACTGCTAAAGCAGACTCCAGATAGACATGTTTTTCCCCCCTGCTCACTCATGTAACATCCAGGTCGTTTCAGGTTGAGAAAGTAGGAGTGGGATACTCTATGAAGATGTTTAGGGATGAGGCTGATGCCAACTTCACTATGGCTTCCAAGGTTGCGTTGGGCATTACCATTTTAGTGAGTTGAGCAGAACTTGAAGGATTGCTTGGCAGATGTATGGGCCAGCTCTAGAAGCAGCACACACTTCTATTCATATTCTGTTGGTAAGAACCTAGTTACAAGGCTCCCTCTTAATGCAAAGGAGCCCCAGGAATATAACATGCATCAGGAAGAAGAGATAGATGGATGTTGTTGGACTCATAACATATTATCTTTGCCACATTATATACTTCTGAGACTCCTAAAGAAAGGCTGTCCATCCCCCAGCCATTTGAGACATACATGGATTTTTAAATAGTTTTGAGACCTGAAAATTCCGAAGGGAGTATCAGCTGGGGTCACTACCAAGTTAGGGATGTCTCTTCCCTAACTCTGGCCAGTGATTGTCAGAGAAGGGCTTAGGTAGGGAGATAAAGGGTAAACTGGAATTGTGTCGAGAGTCAGCGTTTATGAGATGGAAGTACTTTATTTTTACAGCTCAGGTCTTGCTATGTTGCCCAGGCTGGAGTGCTATGGCATGCTCATTGCAGCCTCAAACTTGTGGGCCGTGATCCTACTGTCTCACCTTCCCAAGGTGGCAGAGGAGGCATTCAACTCCTAGCTCGTTGTCACACCCCTTCTGCACAGCTAGGTTTTGTTTCCATATGGGTTCGGGTTTTAACTTCATTTTTGTGGAACCCCCACACTGTTTCTTAGGAACACCTCACTCTAAGAGGCTCAGAGGCTTTAGAAATCTTAAATCACTTTTTTTCCCTTAACAAAGGAATATATTATTTATTTATTTATTTATTTTTGAGGTGGAGTCTCGCCCTGTCGCTCAGGCTGGAGTGCAGTGGCACGATCTCGGCTCAGTGCAACCTCCGCCTCCCGGGTTCACGCAATTCTGCCTCAGTCTTCCGAGTAGCTGGGATTACAGGCACGTGCAGGAATGTATTATTTATTTTTAAGCAGAGATTGA